AAAAAAAAAAAAAAAAAAAAAAAAAAAAAAAAAAAAAAAAAAAAAAAAAAAAAAAAAAGCACTGCAAAGAAACCACCACGAAAGAAGCAAACATCCTATTGAGTTTTGGTACATACCCTTCTTCTTAACTTACCATTTTATTGCCTGAAGCCATTAGTAGAGCATCCAATTGAGCATCCCTTCCCTGCATCACAAATGAAAATCAGGATTAATAGTTCTTATAAACACAATGATTCAAATTTTCAGTCATATTTACTCGTTGAGCAGTGAAAACAAACGATGAATTCGGATATGTCAAGCTTGCAACAGAGCCAAGAATCGAGAACATAATGTCATGCTATGTATATGCTAGAAACCAAAACATTTTCGATCGAAACAGTTTATAGAGTCATGGAACAAAACTAAATCTTGAATAATTCCCAAGGTTAAGCGACATTCTCGTTATATTTACTCGTTCATCTATCAACTCAACTCAGCTTTCCGGGGGGTTCCATACTCGAGCAGTGAAAACAACCCATGAATTTAAATATGTCAGGCTTACAACAGCGCTAAGAATCGAGAACATAATGTCGAAACAAAACATTTTGGATCGAAACAGTTTATAGAGAGACATATTACAAGGAATAGAAAAAAGCAGCCCAGAATGTGAAGTGAATGTGATGGTTTGGAAAATGTATAAGAAATGGATGGTAGTAGTAGTGACCATTTCGGGATCATGCTTGAATATATGAGTTTGTCGTCGTGCTCAAATTATCGAAAAATTAGGATAACATGAAGCTATAAAGTAGAGTAGATCAATTCTAAACAGATTCCTAAACTATATTTAAATCAGTAGATTTTGTACCTGTTAAATGATGGGGCTGTCATTCACAAGCAATCTTGGTGTCAAAGCTGCTGAGGCAGATAGCAAAAGCCTGGAAAGTCGAGATCGGGTAACGAAAATCCATGGTGAATAAATCCTTCCCCACTTTTCCAAACTGAAGGATGATCTTCTCTTGTTCTTGTGAAGGAGGTTCGGTTTCCGAAGAAGCGACGAGTTGAAAATTTTTCACGGAAGCAATTGTAACTCGTCCATGAAAATTCAAACACCAGCATTGAAGCTGCTCGTGCCACCTGGGAGTCTTGTTTCTCAGCACCAGCATTTCATCTTTCTGACTAGCTAATGGTTCAGAAAGCAAGCTATCTGCATTTGATTTCGACCTTAGGAACGGGAACGATGGAAACAGTTCCACATTGCTCAACGAGAGCTCGGTCGGTGTCGGAGCCACTCCTCCAGGTTCAACCGCAGAAGCGGGAATAGCGTCCATGATACACTGCATTCTCCTCGGACCCCTGCTTGTTAATCACATCAACCTTTTAGGATTTGCAAGACATCTAAAGAAAAATAGTCATCCAAACAAAGAATCACCATAAATCATAATAGCCTTTGGATTACCTTGATCCCAATACATTTAGTTCATACGAAATGTGAGCAACTGGATAGTTCCCAGCAGGGAATTTGGGAGAAACTTGTTTCAAATTCACAAGCCTCGTGGAGCGACTTTTTGTGATCTTCGCTCCCGAATGTGGGGGTTGCCCGTCAAAGATTGTGAACTTAGTTCCTAGGAAATTAGATCTGTTCTCACACAAGGAAAAATGAAACTCTCAGAAACATATTCCAAAATGTACATCTAAATCATAACATCACAGGTATTCAATAGCATACCTCAACTTCCCGACATAGGTGCTGCTCCCTTTCGACAAATCCTCAGCGTGTAAAGAGATAATATAGTCTGTGTAGGTCGGTCGCTTGCATTTCCGAGCAGCAAGAAGAAACTTACCATCATCATTTAGTGCTGTCATGTAGGCAATTCGGACATTAAGAAACTTACAATTCGGACAAAGCTAAGAAACTTCAAATTACCATAGCAATTACTCACCATTAGTCAAACTGAGGAATAGATAATAAGTTTGATTGGATCTGTTTCGCTTTATGAAACACTGTAGAAGAGGATCCCTTGGACCAGGCTGCAAGAACAGATTATGAAAAAACATCTTATAATGTGTGATTTTGTCACACAATCAAACCAGTGAATATCAATTAGGCACTTGAAGCTTCCAACAATTTGTTAACTAAGACATAAACTAAGATTAAAATCCTTCGTGATACAACGAAAAAAGTCCTAATAAACATGAACAGACAGCATCAAAATTTCCAATTAGTTCAAAATCATACCAAATATATCCTAAATCCATTAAATCGTCCAAAACCCCCCAAAATTTACAAGTAGCGCGGAATACTCGCTCACCTGCTTGATAGAGATCGGGAACGTTAACTTGCCGGAAACCTCCGGCGTTTTGACGATCTCTTTAGTGATGGCCCGCCAGCTCCGGCATACTCCGGCGCAAGCGACGACACTCTTCCTCCGTGGCCAAGAAGTCTCCGATGCCTCGATTCTCATTAGAACCTCCCTGAGAAGCTCCTGAGGCATATTGGCCCAGCAGCTCTGGACGAGGCCGTCCGTTGGCTCCGGCGCCGTGCCGTCCTGCACCACACAGCGGGAGCGGGACCTCATATCTTGAATGATGCTCTTGAGAGACATGAATTGGCCGGCTTTCTGGTCGAAAACACGATGAAGATGGAAGAAATGATCAATGAAGGAGCGGAAAATTGGAGATTCCCGATGCCAGAGAGGCCATTAGAGGTGTGTGGATTTAGCTTCGAATCCTGGGGATTGGATATGGGAAAAATGGAAGAAAGTGAGATAAATGCATCTAAGTCGGAAAATTTTGGCCTGGATTTTTTTTTTTTTCTTTTTCTTTTTTCTTTTTGTGATCTGGGATGGTGAAAAAAGCTGAATAAATGAAAGAGGGGACCGGGTACCGGCTTGGCGATTAATTATTATTATTATTAAAAATAAAATAACAGCTTCGATTATTCTGATAATTGCGACAAAATGGTTCGCTCTTATTATGGCTTTGGAGTTAACAATCACATATGTATTAATTACCGATTTTCAAATATTTAAAAAAACGTAATATCCATATTTTTATTTATTAAATTAGTTTTTCAAATTTTTATCTATTTAGTGTGTGTTTTTTTAATGTGATTAAATGATTTATAATTTAGTCTATTTAACAAAATAATCATTCAAAAGATTTGTAAAATAACCAATCGAGTTAGCTGAATGAAGAATATTACGACATGAAACGATTATTGATCGAGTCATGTTGTATTTAGTTAAAAAAATTTACAAGAAAATAATTTTTAAAAAAATTACCATCAAATAATACGTTTTTATTATTCAATATATAATAATAATAATACGGGTTGACCTTTGCTATATGAGTTTGTTGTTGGGAAGTTTGAATTTAAATTAGAAAAATAAGTTATCAATTACAATTTTAAAATTTAAATATGACTTGGCTCACGACCATTGCTGTCTTTCTTTTAATTATTCAACTCGTGAGTTTAATGTTTATTTTTAAAAAATAAAATTTTCAATTTACGACTGATAACAATAATTATTTTCAAATTGAAGAAATGATTATTTTAATTCAAAATAAATAAATAAAAATAAAAACTTTTTATTGTAGGTTAAAATAACCCGTCTATTAATTAAAATTTCAACTACATTTTAAACCTAATCTCATTTGTTTAATTATTCGTCTGTGACTGATTTTAATTGACTCGATATTTAAGTAGGTGAATAAATAATCGAGCCAATTGAGTTTTCTCTAAATTAAGATTTTATATGCACTTTTTAAACACGTAGTAGTATTAAAGTTAAAGAGTATTAATAAAATATTTTAAATTTTGAGTGTAATATTAAAAGTTTAGGGCATGTTTGAAATAAAATATTAAGGTGAAAAGTAGTTTTTTATATAATTTTTTTAAAAGTGGAACAAAAGTAAGAACATTATTCAAAATTTTAAAAATTTAACGATATTTTTGAATGAAATAAAATATAATACAGCTTTTGGTTTATAATTTATTAATAACTCTCAAAATCTTTTTTAAAATATTGTAATATGTCATTTAATTGATAATAGATAATTCACTCAAACATGGTATGAAATTTGACCATTTTCACCCCATTTTTGTAATGAGATTAATTTAATATTAGTTGAAGAGATAAACATTAAAAATAATAAATTTAAACTTTTAATTCCATGATATATTTTAATAGTTACACATATTTTTTCTTAATTAAATAAATAATTATTTTACAAAGCCCTCGTATTAAATTAATTATATAACTGGCCTGGAATGGACGTGGACCCCACTTTCTCATCCTACCTTTGTCCATTTGATGAAAGATTCGACGGATAAGAACGTCGTCGTTTTCATTCCCGGTTCCCTCTTAGGGTGAGGCGAGAATTAGATGCTCGCGCCAGTAAATTTATATATATATATTTTACGGAAATGGTTTAGGTTCCTATCCTCTCACACAATTAAAAAATGTTAATATATATATATATATATATATATATGCATTTTATTAAATGAATTATTCTTTGACAGACCAAGACTTTACAAATTTCCAATTTTACTTTTATAAATTTATCGTGGGATAAATTAAGGTTAAAAGAAAAAAAATGAAATAATTATTTCGTAAATTATTTTAAAATATATTTTCATACACTTTCTTTATTTAAAATATTTTTAAAAAAAGTAGCAATATTAATTACAATATTTTATAAATGATATAAAACTAATATTAAACTATAAATTTATTAGAATAACTGATTTTTATTAGAATAATTGATTTGATTGGGACTCAAGCACACTCTATATTTCATTTAAAATTCTGGTTTAGTTCACAGTTAACTTTTATTTTTCGTGTCAATTCAACAAATTTTGTAAATATAGTTATAATCTAACTTTGTCATATGTTTAAGATTATTATAAAAATTAAAATATTTGATGTTATAATCCGTGTTTGAGATGTAGTATGATTTGTAAATATTTGATATTTTAATTATTAATGGGTATAATTTTTTAAAATTATTTAAAAAAACATGAAATATCAATCACAATTCTTAAACAAACAAATGTGCAAATAGTTTTATCAGTTATAATATTAAATATTAATTTTTTTAAAAAATACAAAATATGTCAATAACTTATTAAATAATATTAAATTTTAAAAATACATTACTTCGCGATTAATTAAAATGTTTTAATAGTTTTATCAGTTATAATATTAAATTTTAATTTTTTTAAAAAAATACAAAATAGGTCAATAATTAAATAATATTAAATTTTAAAAATACATTACGATTAATTAAAATGTTTTAAAATGTAAGAAAACCATTAAACGGCAAGGCTAAATTTGTGTGTGCAGTTGGATGTGCCGCCACTTGCGCCATTTCAGTTGCATAAAGCTTAGAGGCAACTTCACCCAAGTGGTAAACAATTAGATAAGTTTTTTTTAAATAATTAAAAAAATAATAACCCGATAATATAACGCTACCAACCCAAAATTTGGTTTGGTTCGGTTCAAAAGACTTTTCTATCCCCACCCAAAGTAAACCCTTACCTATGAAAATGGAATCTATTTTTTTATTTTTTTTATGCAAATATCCATATTTATATATTTTCATAATGTTTGTGGTTACTATTTTAACACAACACAGTTGATAATTAGATCTTAAGTAAAAAGTTATATTTATGGGGTGAAGAAGCAAAATTTAGTCTTTATATTTTTAAAAATTAGAATTTTGGCCAAATAATTTGATAAATTATTATAAATTATTTATATAGTGTAGATATTATTTAGTAAAATTTATTAAATTTTAGGGACTAAGTTATAACTTTCTTTTATATATATATTGAAGGCTAAATTAAAATTTTATTTTAAAAAAATTAGAATGTAATTATAATAGTTTTAAATGTTAGAATTAATCAGTTGGTTACAATTCTTTTAAATAGTGTATATATATTTATTGTTTTTTTTTTAGAGTTTTATTAAATTATTGATATTATTTATGAAATTTTATTAAACCATAAAATAAAATTTAATCTTTAAAATCATAAAACTTTTTTTCTTTTTTTAATTTTAAACATCAAATTTCCAATTCCAACGGAATATATTTATATGGATAATAATAATAACGACAAATGTGTTCAATGGGGCCTACCGATTTAATATCGAACAAACCAAAACAGAAGCTCACTTTGGGTCCCACGCTCTTCAACGTCTGTGGCTCCATATTCCCTTTTTTTTTTTAAATAAAAAATAAATAGAAAATCGAATATAAAAAAAATTGTGAAAGCTTTGGTGGGCAAGATCATACTAACGAACCCACGCGAGCGGCTGGCGAAGAAGAACGACCAAGGAAACAAACCCTGGACCACCACCACCACCACCCCTGTAACGTGGCAACTTTACAAAAGATCACATGGGATCCATCTCCACGTGGCACTAGATAAACGGAGTTACAAGTTAATCAAAATGCGCACGGCCACAGCATATCCGACTTTTAAAAATTAAGTAATAAAACAGAAAACAGAGTGATTAAAGGGGGCGCATAAGATTGACTCGTGCGACTAAAATTGCCGCTTAATTGTCGCGATCAGTTGGAATTATTCGGTTAAAAAATCGCGATTTGAACAGGCTTTTGTCGGGTGTAGCCGAGTCAGAAAATCAGAGCATACTGGGCTGGACGTCGAGCTTGGCTTTGAATCGCCGATTTGCCCACAAGCTGTTTAATTTTATGCTACGCATACACGACAGCCAATTAATTACTCGTACGAATCCAATTAATTACTTGTTAGAGAATAAATTAAAGGTAAGTTTTATTTCATAATCTTGTGACGAGACACAATATCTTTTTTGTATTCAAATACTATGACATATCTATATATGTTGCTCGTACTTTTAACAAAGTTGATACACATCGAACCATCAAAATAAGCTTTTGGGCTACCAATCGATTAGACAAAGACAATAAACACGCATATTCTTAAGCACGATCGATATTTTCGATACATGCTACTAGAAAAAAAAATCCATGTAAGCGTAACGTTGGGTCCACCTAGATTTTCATCTCGTATCCTTCACTAACCCATGTTTTAACATCAATGTGATGTTTATCTAACGCACTTCAGCACTCGCGTTTTTTCAACAAGAGTCTTAAAAAAACTCCATTAATCCAACTCAATCTCGAGTTGAGTTAGATTCAAATAAATAAAAATTAAAGTGAGATGAGTTCCTTAAAATTAGTTAAAATTGAATCGAATAATTTTATTGTTAATATATATATATTATACATTTTTTAATTATTTAATTTTAAAAAAATAAAGATTTTAAAAATATATTAAATATTTAAAAATAAATAAACAAATTTCTATATTTTTTTTTTTGTTAAAATAATTTAAATGAATGACTAATTATTTAATAAAATGTATTTCATTACAAAAAAAAAAAGAAAAAAAAAAAGGACAATTTAATAATTAAATTGAACTTAAATATGTCTAACTGCCATGATTACCCCCAAGGAATTGCTTGGTTATTTATTATTATTTAATTGAAAAGATTATTGATTTGCTATTATTTACTCGAAATCTTCTACCTTTTTTAATTTGACCATTTATTTTATATATTTTAAAAAACCCCATTAAATATTATTCAAATTTAAAAAAAGGAGAAGCTTTTGCTTACACATTGTATTGGAGGAGGGTCAGACTCAGAACAACAGGGCATTATTCATATAAGAAATCATCCGTACAGTTTTTCACCCGACCAGATTTTAAAAGTGGGGAACCTAATGAATGCAGGATTAAACAACTGGAACCACGAGGGCTCACGGCTCCTCAGATC